GAGCTGTAACGAAAATTCGAAAGGATGCAAAAGGCTTTGCTACCTGTTGCGCTCGACCTACAATTGCATGTACTTGTCGCAAAAATTTAAATGCATGAGATGTAGTTTATGGGGAATAGCTTGAGTGCATTAATACGCTTTGTGATGCACGCTAACAACTCTTTATCATACATAAATTTGCATAAGTACAACTAAGTAAGCATGCAAGCTTTATGTTTCTTTACTATTAAACATTTTTTTATATAGTGCTCATATATGCTCACATATGTCTGTACATATAATATTCTGTAAAATACTCGATATAACGATGAAATAATTTGTTGAGATAAAGAATAAAAAAATATAAATGCATATTATTTATGAAATTTATAAATAAGTTTCAAAATTTAAATTTAATAATTTTTTACAATTAAAAATATCAAAGTATAGTCACGAAACTAATTATCTGGACAGTGCGCTGTTATGTCAATGATTTCTTCAAACAATTACAAAATTGTGACGTTAAAAATTGTAATTTTTACTCATGCATTATGGCATTAATAGTTTATATTTCAATAAGTAAAGCTGAGTGTAAAACTAGTATCACACTAAAAATAGTCTGAAGAATTATATTATCGACATAATGATAGATTGTATGAATAATTAATTTCGTCATTGTTGTATATTATTGCACTATGTGTACATAAAGTAGATAGTAAATAATTGTTTCTTAAATTCTATTCACGCATCGTCTGTGAGCCGAGCAAAATCAGTCCCGAAATTCATTCGAAAGTGAGTATATGAATCTCGATTTTAAATTATCTTTTTTTTGTTAACAATAGTATCATCTTAATGATAATAAATAATTTCAGAGTTCAAATCTTGCTTTTATTAAGTTATTTATGAAATTCATTATTAAATAATTAAATTAAATAATATTAAAAAATAATAAATCACATAATTTATACATTAAATTATTTGATAATTATTTTAACTTTGATAATTATTTTTTTCTCATATGCTTTATATAAAAAAAAACTATTATTAAAAGAATAAAATTTAAGTAAATTAGAAAAGAAAAAAACTGTAATAAAAATTAAGACAATAATAACAATAATTTTCGTCAATGACAAGATGACAAGATATAGTACAAGTTATGACTACAAAACAAATGACTACGTCCTTACTATATCATAAAGCGCAGTTCGTTTCCAAAATACTACATATTTGCAAATCATAAAGTCGAGATAACGATGAAGGTCAGATAATCAAACTTTCAGTGGTAAACAAATGGTTAGTTTCAATTGATTTAAATCAATGGAATGTATATATGATTAAATTTTATCACTTTGTTTAAAATCAAAAAGATACTAAAATAACTTAGCTTTGAGTTGTGTGGAAAAAGATTCCTAAGAATTTATAAGAGTTTTGAATTTCGTTCTTGAAATACTTACTTTATTTTCAACAGCTCCCAGCCCTGAACATCTTCCACTCTTTGAAGAACTTCAAGCAATTCATCTATGTGTTCTTCCTCTATCGAGATCATATTGCATTACAGCTAAGGATGTTTTTAACGAATAAGATCACCTGAATTTCAACTTTTCATCGAAAACGAGATTAGCGATATCCACGATTATACGTGCTACCGAGCATCACGTACGGCGTCACACTGGCTCGGAATGTTGATACCGGCACGGCACGGTTTCCTGGGGTGGCAATTGTGTCCACGGCACATTCCATTTACATCTTACATCCTATCGACGTCACGCGGCGCGAGTGACGCGAATATCTTAAGAGACATTTTTCGCGAGAGAAAAGACCATTTTAACTTTATAAAATTACTTTCTTTTAATTCCTTTTAATTAATTATTTATCTATTATGTGAAAGACATATAATATTATTTCTCTAATATGTGTATGTGTACAATCAAAAGTAATTCACATTATATTGCACTTACGATATGTGTAAATAAGTGGCAGAAACATCTGCCGTTATCATTAGCTAATAATAATGAATTAGCCATACAGTGCATATACAAATCTGAGAAAAATACAATTCGAAAAAGAGAGCTTTTATATCACAATATAATTACGTATATTTTTATGTAATGAGTTTCTCAACACGGCTTTAATTTGATTTCTTCTAGTAAAAAGTAATTTTGCAAATATCTCTTGAAATATCAACTCTACACACAGAAAAATACATACTATACTTATTTCAAGTATTTATTATCAAAAATTTATCTGTATCTGTAAATTTATCATAAGTTTATTACAAACATTAAATTTATTCAAAATATATATTTTTAAAAAATCCTAGTAAATTAATACTTCAATCAAAATTACTAAATTAAAACAAATTCGACTCGCTTATTATATGTTATAAAGTCGATAAATCTTATGATTTTCTTCGATAAATTTTATGACATTTTTAAAAAATATATAAATTCTTGTTTTGAGTGTATAATAATTAGTTTTTCTCAAATTTGTAACAAGTATATTTTAAAATTATTATCAAGAAAATATTCTTTGTTGAAGATGAACTGTTACTTAAAATAGAAAATACTTAAAAAGAAAACTGTTACTTAAAAAGAAAATAAATTGAGTAATTTTCATTCAATAAAATAATATTTTTCTGTGTGTACCTAAATTAGTTAAGAGAAATCTTTAAGCGAAAAAAAAAATGCGCGCGTGCGAAGAATATTTTGTGTAATTAGAATGTTCTGTATGCACGTGTGTGTATGTGTGTGTGTGTGTGTGTGTGTGTATGTGTGTGTATGTACAGACACAGGGTGATTCATAAATGCATGTTAATAAGTATTTCAAGGAATAAATTTACACATTAAAATAAGTAAAAAACGTCATATGATTATATGACTACGAATGCTTCAAATCATTTGTAACATCATGTTAATTATACCCAAAGTCGAGACGTGTTAAAACGTACAGTAAGTATCGCTGTACGAGACGTGCACTTATTAAATATTTTTTTTTTAATTATCTATAATTAAAAAATTAAGGTATATAGGATACATCATATTTATATGACGTTTTTTTTACTTATTTAGTAAATATAT